ACTCTACTATCATGCTAGTGCTCCCTCTCTCACTAGTGCTTCCTTCTGGCACTAGCTCTTAACTCAAAATGCTGCTCTTATGTCAAATTGAAACCCAGGTTGAATGATGGCTCTTAACTCAAACACTCCTTAAGTTGGGATGCTCTTAAGTCAAGGTTCCACCCTTTCTATCTGTCTGGCTTAGACAGACTTTTTCTTCCCCGAAATATGTGCTTATGGCATCTCATATCTGTTAGAAAACGATCAGTTTTACCCCTCAAGTGACTTTGCCCAAAATTGTTTCTGAAGCGCAAACATCATTTGCTCTTAAAACACAAACCAAAAAAACAACCTTTTCTTTTTTCTGAGGGAATAAAATGAGAAACATTTTTTTTCTCTTCAGCTTGAGCTTCATTATCAAGTATTTCTTTCTCCTGAACCTTTCTGAGCTGGGTACTTGAAATCTGGAGATGGTAATGTATCAGGAGATTTTCTAGCTAACCCTGCCTTTTGGTGGTATGGGCATTGCTGTTGACACTATAGCCACAGAAAGGCTTCAGGTTTTGATAACTTTCCTAGCTGTTAGCTAGTTCTACCTCTAGCATTCTGACCCTCATAAGCAATGCTAACCATTTCTCAATCACATCTATTCCCATTTCCTTTCTCCCCTTATTCCTACCTTAATTCAACATCTCTTTTGAATGGACTCATCTGGCTTTTGATATTTGCTGGGAAATGTCTGCTCTAACCTTTATTTGTTAAATATGTTTTTTCTGCCAAAAATGGCAATAAAGACAGTGGCCAACATCAAATTCTAATTAAAATATAATGGAAACAGATTAAATGCATGATTTTAACCAGATTAATAGAAAGGAACAACTATCCCCTTTGGTTAAGCATTATTCAGTGTCAAACATCTGCCAGATTGGGACAGAGGGTGATCAGTTTAACCTCAGCCAGAAGGAGTTTTAATCTGGAAGTGCAAACTGAAAACCAATATACCATCTGAGACCGTGAACCATGTGAGCTCATCCAGTGGATGCCAATGCCACTTACCTATAGATAAAATTGCCTGTTAATATTTATTTCATTGGAACATAGTGGGCCACCATATTCTAATCTGAGTGTATATGCTTACACTGATTGTTCTAAATCCTGGAATTAAGTTTCTGGGTTACAGAATCCCACAGAATAGTGGAATGACGAGATTACTTGCCATTGTACATAAGCCTCAGAATCTTTTTACAGATTTTAGAAAATATACTTCTCATTCAATAAGTAAGAAATAATGATCACTGAAATCCTAGCTATACTGTCACATTTGTTCCAAAGTAATACCACTCGTTAAAACAGAGACGTACATCAAGAAGCAAGATACCAAATGTGGAGTCAGAGGCGGCCCTAGGTAATTTTCAATGGTAAGCAAACAGTATTTTGGCACCCCCCCCAAACCAATCATTGATATATATTTTCTGTTCGTCGTGGGAGTTCTGTGTGCCATATTTGGTTCAATTCCATCATTGGTGGAGTTCAGAATGCTCTTTGATTGTAGGTGAACTATACATCCCAGTAACTACACTTGCTGCACTTGCTCCCTTGCCTGGCCCGCTTTGGGTCCGGAGGCATGCCTGAAAAGCCCGGCGTGTGCACCAAAAGTCACCTCTTCTCCTGACTTTCTCCTCAGCCATTGGGACCGAGAGAGAGAGACAGAGACAGTGACAGAGGTGGAGATGCCCACCTTTCCTGAAGGTAGGCGCAAAAACAAAGGAGGGAGCGGAGGTGGGAGATACCTCCAGCCAGAGGGGCTCCTTCTCTCTCTCTCTTGGTCCCAATGGCTGAAGAGAAAGTCAGGAGAAGAGGCGACTTTTGGTGCACACGCTGGGGTCTTCAGACACGCCTCTGGACCCGAAGTGGGCCAGGCGCGGCGGCTCCGCCCCTTGGCCCACCCGTAGATTGGGGAGAGGAGAGGAGGCGGGTGGAGGACCGGGGGATCGGGAAAGGGAGCCGGTCATGGGGAAGGAATCGAACGTGGAGAACGATTGAGTGCCGGCTCTGCTAGCGCATCCGGTGACCGGGTGGAGCAGGAACGAGAGGGGCCAGGCGAGGCAAGAAAGCTGAGGCTCCCCCCGGACTGCTAGGGCTGTTGTGAGCTGAGGGGGCGCTCCTCAAGTGGCAGTCAAGGGGCATTTACAGAGGCGCCTCTGTGCCCCTGGCAAAAAAAAGTGTTCTGCGACTGCTTACTTTGCGTAATGGATGGGCCGCCCCTGTGTGGAGTTAATAGGGGGTACGTTTTATTAAGTACCAATAATCAGAATGTGAGAGGAGTGGGGAAAGCCTATGCAGGCATTTTATCCCATGCAGGTAATAAGTCCAAGGAAACCAACAAGTCATGCTCGCTCAGACCCAGTAGTTAGTCCACAGGGGATCCTTTGCTCTGCATCTCCATGTCCTTAGCAACAGGATTCAGAATCCAGTGATTAGCTTTTAAATTTCCAGGTGGAGGGGGTATCACCAACCTCAAATCCTGTAGAATCCTATGAAACAAATGACAAACCAAATGTAACTTAATCTACCAGACACAGATTACATGTTACATTGTTTCAACCAAATGAAACCAAATTAAACTAACAAACAAAACACTCAGAAAACCATGCTTCCCACTAAAACAAATATAGAGTAGTCAAAAGGCCTCTATCTGAACTTGGATGGTGGGCAAAAATTCAAAATGAGCCTCTGATGTCACTAGCACAGTCTACACATGTACACTCAAATTGTGTGACCTTGGATATGTATGTACATAAATACCTATTGAGAAACTTACAATTGTGCCTCAGCCACATGTATGTCTAAGATCACTACTATTTATGCACCTTCATATCATGTAAATTTTATTTATTTATTTATTTAAAACATTTAGATTCTGCCCTTCTCACCCTGAAGGGGACTCAGGTTGGAGCACAACATACAAATGGCAAACATTCAATGCTGGGACATGAATTCATTATATGCATACATAAACATTCAAAACATTTGTCTCAATATTAAAATACACTGTTTAGAAATCAATATAGTTTTATAGTGTTACCTATTTATATGTGGGAAATTGAAGAAAGAAAGCTGCAATGATTTGGTTAAAACTAATTAGATGGCTAAGCCCATGTTTTAATTCACGCTACCAGGGACTGTATCTGTAACTGATCCAACAGGAATCTAAAATTCCTGCTGTCAATTCATCTTCTCACATCAACTCCTTATAATTTCAGAGGCATTGTGCATTAGTCAGAGTGTTATAAATGTTAATTTTCCCTTTCAGTAATTAGAACTTTTCTTCACCTCATTCCTATAAAATAGCTGAAGCAGTGACATATGAGATATCATTCTCATCTATCATATTATTTCTGTTTCAACAGTGGAAGAGGAATATTCCTGAAGTAATGATCCTCTTTTGAGAATAAAGTGTTTTTTTAATAGCTTTAGAGAATGAAAATGTATCTGAAAAAAAATAGAAGTAGTTAGTTGTTTTAAAAATAATAATAATGAGAAGATTTTTAAAAACAAATTTTGTTTTGGCCTCGATTAAATATATTTGCAAGTACACATTACTTTTCTCAATTCTTTGTAATGATAATTAAAGTCAGTGTGGAATTATTGCATTGTACTGTGTGTGTATTTTATACTTTGTCTTAGGCACTATGTAAGCCACCTCGAGTCCCTTCGGGGAAATAGAGACAGGGTAAAACAATAAAGTTATTATTATTACTATTTTTATAATAATAATAATAATAATAATAATAATAATAATAATAATAGAAATAATAGCATCAAGTCATAACAGCAGGTTCAAATCTGGGGAGAGGCGAATGAGCTCCCTCTATCAGCTCCAGCTCCTCATGCAGGGACATGAGAGAAGCCTCCCACAAGGATGATAAAAACATCAAATCATCCAGGCATCCCCTGGGCAATGTCCTTGCAGACGGCCAATTCTCTCACACCAGGAGCGATTTGCAGTCACTCCTGACACGAAAAAAAATAACAGCTATGAGAACTAATAATCCATGAGTATTTAGAAATATTATAACAGATCAATAGGATGCATGCCTATATAGAAGGGAATCCCTATGTGTTACACCTTGTATTTGCTAATGTTTAAAGTGTCGTAAGACCCTAAAGGTTCCTCAACAGATCAATGTGACCGTCCCCTGCTCTTTACAAATAATATGGTCAAATTACAAAGACTACACAGCCTTAGCTGCCTCCAAAATGCCAAAGAGCAAAGTATGCAAAGAAGGAACACACACTTTTGAGTTCCTTTAAGAATGGAGACACAACCATCTCTAATTGGCCAGACTGCTAAAGGCTAATATTACCCTCTTGATAATTGGCTGGAGTGAGAAGAAGTCAGAGGCCAGACAAAACTGCCCATAAATTGTTTCAGCTTTGTTCGGCTAGACTTCATTAGGCAGCATCACTAGCATGATCTGTACCTCTCTCCATATGTGGAGCAGAAACAAGGGAACTCTGTTCCATTGCAACAACCAGAGCCATATTGTTGTGTACTTTCAGGTCATGATGACCTTAAGGCAAGCCTATCATAAAGTTTTCTGGGCTGAGAGTGTGTGATTCACTCAAAACCATTCTGTGGTTTTTCATCATGTTTCAAACCCTGGTATACAGAATCAACTCTCAAATCATTACATCACACTGTATGATATCTTACTACAACTTTGACATGCTTTTTATTATTACTTCAAGAAACCAGGTGCCATTATGTGCTTCACTTAGCTATTTAGAAAAAAGGAAGTAGCTAAATGGACTAAACCTACACTATATTATGAAATATAATATGAAATGAAGTGTACCCAAAGAAACTATGTTAATAGCTGTTGAAACCAATATGTGAACATCCTTGAGCCTAGAAGACACTCATGGTGGTACAAATAGAGTAAAGAAAGAGTGCCTTTTGTAAAATCACTTAAGGCCCCATTCACAGTGGTAATAGTACATTTCTTTTCTTCCCACAGCCACTCAACTATGAAAAAAAGAAATCCTATACTCTTAATATAGAAGGAGCAAATACCCACCTCGATTTCCGCTTCTCACACTTAGGACCTTTTAAAGATGTAACTATGTTGAAGATCATTGTTGGGGATGTGGACGAGGCTCCAGTGTTCACTTTGCCATCTTATATCATGGACGTTCATGAAAATGCCAGGATTGGAACTATTGTGGGGACAGTAACAGCCCAGGATCCAGACAGTGCTAACAACTTAGTAAGGTATGGTGTTTTTCATATAATTTCATGTAACATTTAGCATGGTCATTGAATGTAAGAAGGGAGAAAAAATGTTTGCTTATTACAAAGGTGAAGTATGAAAACATGGCTAAATCTGTTTTTTAGTGATTAGATTTGCCTTCTTATAGTTTATGAGAAACAATAAAAAAATCTGCTCAGAGAAAATGGTGAGCTTTGCCACGGCCTCAGAAAAAATGCACTTTTTTGTTGCTAAAAAAGTTAATTGTACATTTCATAAAATTTGCAGAACAGGCAGTCCCCAAGTTATGAATAAGCGAGAATCTGTAGTTTTGTTCTTAAGTTGAATTTGTATATAAGTCAGAACAGGTACATTTCTTAAGTGTAACAGCAGCCAAAGATATATACCATATTTACTCAAATGTAATGCTCACCTTTTTTAAGCTAAATGATCTCTCCTAATACATGGTGTGTCATACAGTAATCTGTTTACTGAGCCAAAGCCAAAGGAGAAGCTGCATCAGGAGCTGCACCTGGAGCTCTTATTTGAGGGATGCCATCTCTCATTTAGTTGCCATGGCTCGATACTGGTTAATCCTTTGGTTAGTTTGGTTAGGCATCAACATTCTTTGGCAGAGAAGGCTCAAGGCCGTGTCAAATTACTGCCCCATGATTTCATAGCATTGCACCAAGGCAATTAAAGCACATTCATTCAGCAGCATAGATGCATCCCAAGGTTTTTGTGCTGGCATGGCTGTGGCAGGAGATTTGATTCTTTTTCTTGCACTGTTAGTTTGCATGAATCTATTTGGGCTTGCATTTTGCAATAGGGCAGCTTTCCCCAGGTTGTAATCATAGGGCCAACAACCTATCAATCATCATTAGAGCCTTTAGATCCTCCCCTTTCCCCAGGTTTGGAGGGAAAAGGGGACTTTTAGTTCAGTCTCACAGTTTGGAGCCTTACAGCAGGACGTGTGGGCTTTCTCTGCCCCACCTGCAAAAAGCTTCACCTCTACCTTTGTTGGTTAAAAAGGAAAACCTCTACAGCTTTTCTGGGAAGTAAAGTTACAGTTCCGCAGCCTTTGCTGGAGGAATACAGCCAGCCATTGCTGGGGCAAAAGAAATAGTTCCTACAGCATTAATGGAGAAACCAAAGGACACCAGCTTGGCAGATCTAGCAACCATTGCCTGTTAAGGGACCACTCAGGCTATCCATAACGCAGCTTGGAGCCGGGAGTTGGGGCCTCACGCCAGCAGGGTAAAGAAAGATTGCCCAAGGAGGGGTCGGAAGGTTTCCCTAAAGAAGATAGGAACAGTTTATCAAGCAGTTGCCTGTCCCTTGTCAACAGACCGAGAAAGCTACCAGCTTTTTAAGATTATAAAGCATTTAATTCACTTGTTTGAAGATTTAAGCCTTAATAAAGAACTTTGTTGGACTTATTTTGAGCCTCTACAGAACTTTGTGGTTGGAAACCTATGGGACTCTTTAGCTGAGACACCCTGGCGTCCCGTTGGGCATACAGAAAGCACATCCTGTAAACAGACACTGTCATAGGCCCAGCGTGCGACAGCACCGTTTTCCTTTCCATTGCTAAAAGCTTTGATGCTCTAACATTTTCGTTTTTAAAGAAGGAATTCTAAGCAGGCAGTGACTGTAATGGCCATGTTACAGAAATTGCACATTTGCCACTGTGCATTATATTCACCACCAAATACATTTTTGTTTTGTTTCAGGGTTTTGGAAAATGAGGTGCACATTAGATTTGATGGTGCATTAGAATTGAGTAAATACAGGTATATATTTAGCTTTGGATAGCATTGAAAAGGATTAGCACCTTTGTGGTGTTTGTTTGCCTGTCTGTGCCCCTGTTCAGAAGATTTCACTTCACTTTCTGACTTCGTGATCATTGGATTTTGAAAAAATATCATATTGTTGTGGAAACAAGGATCTGTGATAAAAAAAATTCAGTTGAGACACCATGATAACTCTTTCAGGAGTGAATTTCCCTTCTCAAGAGGTAGATTTCTCTCACTGTTTTATCACCCCCATTCTCATTTGTAAGTCAGCTGTTTGTAACTTGGGGACTGACTGTACTCAAAAAAGGGATAGATGTTATAGTATTGGTTATGCAAGCTAGAAAAGTTTGTATATGATTTGAGTAAACATAGGACATTTTTCCACCAGTGATATAGAATGGAGGTTATTATCTGCCAATTGTCCAAGTTGCTCCTGCAGAATTCTGGGAAATGTAGTTCAGGGCAGAGCCTTTGGAAATCTCAGCTAGAGAGGTCATCGGCTTCCTTAAACTACATATCCAAGAATGCTGCAAGAGCAGATAGGACAATTGGCCCCCATTCTGTAATGCTGGTGGGAATGGTCCTGAGTTTTAGAGTCGTCTAAGAGAAAAATACATAACATTGATTTAAAAGAAAGTTGTCTGTTCTTACATTCAGTCTTCAGGAGTTATGTTTATAATGTGCACAAATTGCTGAAAACATGATTAAAAATACTTTTGCATTTTGGTTTGTGCCAGAACTCAAAGTAGTTGATAATTCTTGCAGTCCTGTTATGCTGAGATAGTGTAAGTTAAGGAGCTATGTATTTCTTTCACATTTACTGTTGCTACTCTATTGTGATAAGTGTAATGAGAAAGCTATCACCCCGCCTTACATTAAAGTTTGCAAAAAGATGTGGCTGGGGGGAAATAGTGCTTTAAAAACCTTGCTGCACTTCAGGGGTTATCGAAACTCAGGAAGCTGCTGTGCTTGATTGATATTAGTGATAAGCTGGGCTTCAACAAAATTCAGGATGTCATCCAGCCAACCATGACGCTTTCCATTCTGGCTCCCACCCAGTTTTCTATTTTTCTTTTTCAACTGACAGTCAGTATTTGGCAGCTTTTGAGCAGTCACAGTTCTCATTAGACTAGTTCATTGGGAGCAGGAAGGTTACCCCCTTAAGGATTTTAAGATTTGTTGTACTTCTGAAAGTCTTGGAATTCCCCTAAACATACAGATTTTTCTCTCTTGTTTCCACCATTGTTTTCCATCATTTTGACATTAATCACTGGAGCTCCCTATTACAGGGAGAGATACAATTTCAAATGGGAAATATTGCAAAGTAAAGAAATGGCCTGTAGTTCAATGGTGGAATGTATGCTTTGTGTTTTATATTTTCAATTAAAAGAACATCTCTGTTAGGAGGAATGGAACTTCTGTGTGATAATACACTGCACTGAACAAGTGGACTAATTATTAGATTCAGTACATTATCATATTAGGATTGGGACAAATGTTTGTGACTGCTGGACAGCAAGTGTTCATGATGTTTAAAATGTTATTTCAAAGCAGTGGTATTCCAGTTCTCTTCTGTTTTTTGACCATACCTAATCATTAATGGGGTAAACCCATGAATAAGTTCCTGAAAGCACTTCATTTCCAGTGTGGACAGTGGTGTGATAAGCCACTGTTGCAGGAAGAGAAGAGAATCCACATGATTTTGTGAATATCATCTGTCTCTACTCTACTTCCCTATTCCCAAAGTATAGTCATTTAACTTCCAGCAAGCAGCCAGAGTAGTGCATGGCCACTATTTCTCCTTCTTGCCCCATCAGCTTCCTTTTTTATTTCTTTATTTTATTCAAAGTACCTGCACAATTTTGCAGGATGCTGGTGCTTTTCTGTTTCTCATTAACTGTATGAGCCTTCCATTCATGGGGGAGGAACTGCTAAAATATCTTTGGAAAAGTTATCTTACTGTATTGTGTGTTCAGCTACATTGACAAATGTGGTATGTTAACTGAAATTGCCCTTTGGAAATAGATGTACACGTTTAATGGGGACATTCTGGAATCAAATTGACAAATGTTGTCACTGGTTAGACCTCACAAAAAGTTCTGCTCGTGACAGTTACCCCAAAACAAGGTTTGACTATATCACCCCATGGCAGCATAAACTCATTAGTCTGGGAACTGCAATATCCATATTTATTATGTCACCCATAGTAATTATAATGGGGTGCATAGAGGGATTTATGTGTACATGACAACCTGAAATCTGTTACTGTACAACCACAAAATGATGCAGTAATGAAACATGAAATGGCAGACTCTCATGATGTTGATCCAAATCTTGATATTGTGCAGTTCTTCTATTAAAACAAAAACAAAAACAAAACAACAAAAAAGCACAAAGAAAAAACAGGGGAACCATGGACAAAGAAGACCAAAACATAGATTGGAAGGAGTGGTCTATGAAATGGTTCAGTCTGTAATCATACACTGATATTGGGGGGGATGTGCAATAGGAAGATGAGCTATCTGGTTTGTTCTAGCTTTCAGTGAGAAAAGGTGTTCAATGCTTAAACATGCTATTGGACCAGGCATGGGTAAACTAAGGCCTGGAGTCTGGATGTGGCCCCTTGGGTTCTTTTGGCTCCAGAGGTAGCCATGTGTCACAACCTCCTCTCAGTAGGAGGATGCAGTGGCCCACCATGTCCTCTTGCTGAGAGAAGGGCCCTCTCAGTCACATTCAGCTTCACAGAGCTCTCCTGAGAACCCTTTGCAGCTGCATGTCAAGCCCTCTCAGCAGGAGGACATGATGGGCTATTGCAACCTCTTGCCCAGAGGAGGGCTCTGAAGGCACATGTGGCTGTGCAGGGCTTTCCCAAGAGCTCTGGGCAGCTGTGTGTGACCCCCTCCTGCTCGTGCCAACTGCCCCACCCAGCCTCCATCCCACAGCAACTATCCTGCAGCCTTTCTCCCTGCCCCCTCCCTCCCATCCACCCCATCCTGCTTCGCAATGCAGTCTCAATGTGAAAAAGTTTGTCCATTCCTGCTATTCCTGTAGTAGGCCATGGTGTGGTAATACTCCCAGAACAGGCAGTCCCTGAATTACAAACATCTAACTTATTTATTTATTTATTTATTTACTTTGCATATATACCGCTGTATCTCAAGCCCGAAGGCGACTCACAGTGGTTCACAAACAGTAAAAACAGTAGAAACAGCAGTGGTTCCATACAA